CCAGGCGATATTGGAATCATTAGTATTAATGATGGTTTCTACTGTCCTTATTTCCTTTTGCAAATAACGTTCCTCACATAATTTCGAAATAGGAAATTCTCCAATTGAAGTGCGTATTGGGATCAAACTGGACACTGTCTAAACTACTTGAAAGACAATTTCAAATATACTGCCAACACCCATAACATCTAAAGCAATTCATAGAACAGGACCTCGATCGCTGCAAAGTTCACACATGACCTTTCCTGACCTTGGCAAGCTCAGGATAGTGAATGATAAGGAGCCGGAGGTTGCTTTGCTGGGCGGCGACGGGTGCGAGGGCGTCACCCCAGAATTCGCTCCTGACGATCCCCTCCACGGCCTTGCTGGGGTAAAGACGCCCCGGGAGGTGGTGGGGGATTTAAGAGTGAATAAGAATATAACTTCGAATAGATAAAAACCTCAGGCACAATAACGTGTTAACAAAGACGATACAACATATAGTCACAGTAAGAAGTATGCGCCAAACCGAGTCTAGTCTCACTCGAAAAGACACGCTTTGATGCTCCCTTCTTTTTATGTCGATATGTATGTGTGAATGCATATATACATATAAGTGTGTGTGTGTGTGTGTGTGTTTGTGCCTGTGCCTATGCGTGTGCGTGTGTGTGTGTGTGTGTGTGTGTGTGTGTGTGTGTGTGTGTGTGTGTGTGTGTGTGTGTGTGTGTGTGTGTGTGTGTGTGTGTGTGTGTGTGTGTGTGTGTGTGTGTGTGTGTGTGTGTGTGTGTGTGTGTGTGTGTGTGTGTGTGTGTGTGTGTTTGTGCAGATACGTAAGTATGTGTATGCATATATACGCAGTTATATTGCAGGTGGACATGCAGAGTGTTCCACGCTGCACGCGGCGCCCTGTCCACTCGCCCAGAGGTCAGTGGGCGGCGCTGGGAGCCCGCCGAGCCCTTACCTGCGTCTTTCCTGAATGCAGCGACTGAGGACGAAGCTCATTTTTTTCTGGTTGGCGCTTTCCTCGGCCGCGTGGAGCCTGTGGCTCAGGTTGCCTGATCCCGAGGCCTTGAGGATTCTCAGCGAGTCCTTCCTCGACCGATGCTGGTCTCTGGGGGTTCGATGCTGAAACTTCTGCAGGAGGAAAACGAACACGTCGTCCCACTTGTTCTCGAAGGCGCGGAAGAGGGGCGTGTAGCCGTGGCAGTCCATGACGTCCAGTTGCCAGCTGGTTTCGGCGGTGAGCAGCAGCTCACAGCAGCTGAAATGTCCTTTAGCTGCGGCGATGTGCAGCGGCGTCCTTCCGGTGGAGTCGCGCAGGATGTTCACCCTCTTCGCAAGGAAAAAGCGGCAGCAGTCCTCGGCGCCTATTTTTGCCGCGTGATGCAAGGGCGTCATGCCATTCTTGTCCAGGGCATTGCAGATGGCGCCGCTCCTGTAGATCAAGCGGCAGCAGGTCAAGGACCCGGCCTTCGCGGCCAGGTGCAGCGGCGTCTCCTTCATGTCGTTCTCCTCCTTCGCGGACGCTCCTTTGACCAGGAGGCGGCTGCACACTCGGTCCATCCCAGCCGCTGCCGCCAGGTGCAGGGGCCTGTTCATGCCGCTGCTTATCAGGGAGATGTTGGCGCGAGCCTTGATGAGCAGGAGGCAGCATTCCACCGACTGCTTCTCCAGGGCATAATGCAGGGGCGCCATGTCGTTGTTGTCCTTGATGTTGACGTCGACTCGAGTCTTCGGGGCGCGCTCCATGTCCCAAATGCTCTCCGTGCTCACGTCGAGGCTAGTCCGGCTCCTCTCGACGTCGGCGCCGCCCCTGTAGCTCTCCCGCCCGTCGAGGTCCAGGTTGGACGAGTTCAGGAAGATCTCGTCGTAGGGGAGCCGCAGGATGGCGGCGCAGCACTCAGGGAGCTTCTTCTTTGCTGCGATGTGGAGGGGCGTTATGCCGTGCTTGTTCTGCACGTTGCAGTCCACGCCCGCCTCCACCAGGATGCGGCACTTGTCCTGGCTGCCGCCTTTCACGGCGTGGTGCAGCGCCGTGTCTCCGTTAGGGCACGTCGCGTTCAGGTCCGGCCGCCTCTCCAATAGGAGGTGCAGGACCTTCTCGGCGTCGAATTTCTTGCAAGTCGTGATGCGTATAAGCGGCGTGAATCCGTTGTTGTCCTTGTTGTTGATGTCGTGCTCGTGCGCCAAGAGCATCTGGATGGTGAGCAGGTAGCAGTTCCTGACGGCGATGTGGAGGGCGGTCTCGTTGCACCTGTTCTTGGCCGAGGGGCTGGCCCCGTTTCTCAGCAAGACCTGGCAGCAGTTCCGGTGGCCTCGCTCGGCGGCGAAGTGGAGGGGCGTCATGCCCTTCCTGTCCTTAATGTCTGCGCCCTTCGAACTTTTCTGCAGGAGTGTCTCCAAGATTTCCGTCGCGCCCAACTCGGCGGCGATATGGATGGGCGTGCGGCCGTACTTGGAGTCGGGGTAGACGACGGACGCGCCTCTGTCCACCAGCAGGCCGACCATGGGGCTGCCCTGG